TGTGTGTGTGTGTGTGTATGTTCTGCATCTTGCTGATGTCCCTTCTTTGTAGTTTTCTCTTCTTGTGTTTTTGTCTGGTGTTTGTATCAGTGGCCTCTTAGAATAAATATTCCCTCCTCCTCCATTTTTTTTTTTTTGTGAGGGGTGTGTGGGGGGAGACTTTCTGGAGGATAGGTGTTAATTATTTAAATGTTTGGTAGAATTGACCAGTGAAGCCAACTGGTCCTTTTTCTTTTTTGGGAGATTTTTCTTTGTTGGGAGATTTTTTTTTAATTTTTTAGATTTTTAAATTTTTATTTTCTTAAAGATTTTATTTATTTATTCATGAGAGAAATACAGAGAGGCAGAGACACAGGCAGAGGAAGAGGCAGGCTCCCTGTAGGATGCCCGATGTGGGACTCAATCCCAGGACCCCAGGATCATGCCCTGGGCCTAAGGCAGAGGCTCCACTACTGAGCCACCCCACTGGCATCCCTGCTGGGAAAATTTTGATTATTGATTCAATCTCCTTGTTACTCATCTTCTCAGGTTTTCTCTTTCTTCGTGAATGATTCAGTCTTGCTCAGTTGTGTGTTTCTAGGAATTTATCCATTTCTTCTGGGTTGTCCCAGTTTGTTGGCATAGTTTGTCCAGATTGTTATAAGGATACTTGTGATGGCATTTAGTGCCCACCAGGATAATCTCCCCATCTTCTGATCCTTAACTGAATCATATCTGCAAAGACTCTTTTCCCATATAAGGTAAGCGTTAGGGGCTGAATTGTATTTCTGCAAAATTCATATGTGGAAGTCTTCAGTCTCCAATACCTCAGAATGTGACTGTGTTTGGAGATAGAGCCTTTAAAGAGGCAATTAGGTTAAAATGAGGTCATTAGAGTGGGCTCCGATCCAATCTGACTGGTGTCCTTATAAGAAGAGATTAGGAACAGATTGGCACCGAGTGAAGACAGCGTGAAGACAGAGGGGAAAGAAGAAGCCAAGGAATGGGGTCTCAGAAGTAACCAACCCTGCCAACACCTTGCTCTTGGACTTCTGGGCTCCAGAACTGTGAGAAAATAAATTCTGTCGTTTAAGCTCCCCTCTCGGGATCCCTGGGTGGCGCAGTGGTTTGGCGCCTGCCTTTGGCCCAGGGCGCGATCCTGGAGACCCGGGATCGAATCCCATGTCGGGCTCCCGGTGCATGGAGCCTGCTTCTCCCTCTGCCTGTGTCTCTGCCTTGTCTCTGCCTCTCTCTCTGTATGACTATCATAAATAAATAATTAAAAAAAATTTAAGCTCCCCTCTCCCCCCAGAATGGGGTACTTGGCTATGGCAGCCTGAGCAGACTATAATGCCGCAATATTTACAAGTTTCCAGGGCTTGGGACCTGGATATCTTTGGGGCCATTATCAGCCTAACACATTCACTTACCATCTTCCTACCAGAGTGGCTAACGAATGAAAGCAGGGAGTTTATGTATTGTGTTCTTCAAGCAGTGTTTATCCTCAGGGAATGTATGTCCTGGTGTGGTGAGTCAGAGAATGAGCAAAGAAGTGCAATATCCTATGTCACAGGGTGACGGGTGCTCTGGAGAAAGAGCAGGCAGGGACAGGTGAGGGAGGAGGGACAGCTTGTTATTTTAGACAGGGACACTGAGAAGGTGACATTGGAGTCACTGAAGGAGGCAAGGGAGCCAAGCCCGTTGATAGCAGAGGGAAGAATGCTCTGGGCAGGGAAGACAGCAAACCTTGAGGCCCGTGGTGGGGTGACCTGCTCCCTGCAAGGAAAAGGCATTCAGTGCATGGCCTGGCAGAGGGCAGGTAGCAGGAGATGTGGTCAGAACAGCTGGTACGACTCAGGTAGGGGCTTCCAGGGCATCAAAAGGCCTCTCTGGGGCACCCGGGTGGCTCAGTGATTGAAAGTCTACCTTTGGGGCGGCCCTGGTGGCGCAGCGGTTTAGCGCCGCCTGCAGCCCAGGGTGTGATCCTGGATACCCGGGATCGAGTCCCACATCAGGTTCCTTGAATGGAGCCTGCTTCTCCCTCCACCTGTGTCTCTGCCTCTCTCTCTGTGTCTCTCATGAATAAATAAAATATTAAAAAAAAAAAGTCTACCTTTGGCTCAGGTCGTGATCCCGGGTTCTGGGATCAAGTCCCGCATCAGGCTCCTCGAAAGGAACCTGCTTCTCCCTCTGCCTGTGTCTCTGCCTCTCTCTGTGTGTCTCTCATGAATAAATAAATAAAATCTTTTAAAAAATTAAAAAGGGCCTCTCTGGCTTTGGCCCTGAGGTAGATGGGAGCCGTGGTGGGGTTTTGAGCAGGTGCATGACTTGACTTAGGTTTTATTTTTATTTATTTTTTTTAAAGATTTTATTCATTTATTTATGAGAGACAGATTGAGGCAGAGACGTAGGCAGAGACAGAAGCAGGCTCCTCGCAGGGAGCCCAATGCAGGACTTGATCCCAGGCAGTCCTCCGAGATCACAAACTGAACCAAAGGCAGACACTCAACCACTCAACCACTGAGCCACTCAGGTGTCCCGCTTGACTTAGGTTTTATTTTATTTTTTTAATTAAAGATTTTATTTATTTATTCATGAGAGACACAAAGGGAGAGGCAGAGACACAGGGAGAAGCAGGCTTCATGCAGGGAACCTGACACGGGACTCGATCCCCGGACTCCAGGATCACACCCTGGGCTGAAGGTGGTGCTAAACCACTGACCCACCCAGGCTGCCCCTTGACTTAGGTTTTAAAAGGATTGTTTTGGCTACTGTGTGGTGAGGAGGCTAAAGGGGAGCTAATTGGGGAGCTCAGTGAAGAAGCTATGTTGGGTAATTGGGCAAGAGCTCCTCACGGACCAAGGTACCCAGCCCTGGAGGTTGTGAGAAGCGGCTGGACTCTGGGGTCTCCTGGAGGTAGTGCTGTGGGCTTTGCTGGGGAATCCTCACATGGCTCTGAAGCTACTGGCCTGACTCCCAGAGAGCCACCAGAGCTGCTGCCCACCGAGACAGGCAAGGCGGGAAGGGAGTGGGTTTTGGAAGGAGGGAGGACCATGCTACATGGGGATGTCCTTGAGACTTCCAGGGGGAAGTGGTAAAGTTGGATGTGTTTGGGCTCAGTGGGTGAGCATCTGCCTTCAGCTCAGGGTGTGATCCCAGGGTCCTGGGATTGAGTCCCACATCGAGCTCCCTGCAGGGAGCCTGCTTCTCCCTCTGGCTGTGTCTCTGCCTCTCTTTCCATGTCTCTCATGAATAAATAAATAAAATCTTTTTTTTTTTAATGATAGTCACAGAGAGAGAGAGAGAGAGAGAGAGAGGAAGAGACACAGTCAGAGGGAGAAGCAGGCTCCATGCACCGGGAGCCCAATATGGGATTCGATCCCGGGTCTCCAGGATCGCGCCCTGGGCCAAAGGCAGGCGCCAAACCGCTGTGCTACCCAGGGATCCCAAATAAATAAAATCTTAAGAAAAAAAAGTTGAGTGTGTTGGTCCAGAGCTCCAGAGAGAGTTCTACGCTGAAGGTGTCCATTTGGGAGTCGCCGAGGCAGGGGTGGCATCTAAAGCCAAGAACTATGAGCAACCAGAACAGGGAGGCCCCAGGGCTGATTGCTGGCACTGGCAACTTTCAGAGGCAGGAGTGCGGAGAGGGGTCCAGTGAGGGATACTTTGGTTGAATGAATGAATGAGAGTCTCCTTTGTCACTACCCTTGGGCAAGCTGTGTCACCCCTCATGGACTGTCACAGCGGGGTCCCCTTGTGGGTCTCCATGAACCTGCCCCTCCCTCCTTTCTTCTCTTGACCCCCTACCTCTGGGTGCTCCATCTGTCCCGACCCTCCCCGTTCTTCCTGGTACATTGCTTTTTGCCATCTATCTGGGATAGCCTCCCAGAGTGTCACCCCACCTGATTCTCTTTCCATCTCAGCTGCTCCTGGCACTGTGAGGGTTCTTGTGGGCAAACATACAGATACCCACACTCCTGGCAAACAGCTCCCTCACCACCCTTCTGTCCTGGGGGGTATGCCCCCAGCCGTGGGGTCGGCTCTCAGGAGGACGGGTGCAGGCATGAGACCATGTGGGGCCCTGGAAGTGGAATTGGTGGTTTGGGGAGGGGATTCCAGAATCTGGCACCCAGGGCGAGGTCTAAAGGGGCGTTGTGGGCTCCAGGTGGGCGTGTGCCCAGGCCCCGTGGATTTCTGGCCCCACAGAGCGGGGAATCGTCCTGGGGATGGAGGTCTCTGGGGCTCCCAGTGCCACCCGTAGAATCTCATTTGTTATATTTTATCAAGAAGTGAAGCTGTGCTGTGTGGGTGAATGGTTCTTCCTTTGGGGGTGGGGGATGTTTCCGAGGGAAGCTTGCCTTCTGCTTTTCTTAGATGGGCCCGTCTGTCCCCTCTCTGAATGGCTGTTCAACAAGGCCAAGGGTTTGGTCTGGACAGAAGGGTCATTTTGTTTCCTCCACCGCTTCAGCTCTACCCTCAGCATCTGGAGGCCACCCCCAGGCCTGGGGAAGGTGTGGCTGGGTGGGTGAGCCCCCTCCTCCAGGGAGATCCCCATGGGTGGTTGTGGGTAGGGGGCTGGTTGGCCCCAGCTTCCCCTGCAGAAGGGCTTTCATTGTTGAGGAGTGAACGAAACTTGAAGAAGGTTGATATACCCGGGAGCGAGCCGAACCAGGAGCGGCAGGGCAGGTGATTTTGGTAAATAGCTGCCCCTAAATGTACCTTGAAGAGTGCAAGTTCCTGTTTCTGCCCTGGGGAGGATGGGAGAGTATAAAGGAGGTCACGACACAGTTTCCTTCAAAAGGTTTTCATTTATTAGTCTTTTCTCAAGCCATTGATTCTCTGTTCATGTTCAAAAGAAAAAAAAGTGTGTGTTTCATCCAGAGTTACACCAAAGTGATGAAGCTGAGTTTTCTACTGGGGAATATAGCTCCCCAGATCAGAAAAAAAAATTTTTTTTCTTTTCAATTAATCACGAAAACAAAACCAAGAGAACATCCACAATCCAAAATAATCCCCAAATATCCAGGACAAAAAATAAAATATTTATTGATCTATCACAGCGAGACACAAAGAGATGGGCAGGGCAGGGGTGGGAGATGCTCTGAAGTTCAGTGGTTCAAGGGAGGGATGGGGGATACAGTACTGCATGGGGGGGGACCCAGGTTGGGGAGGAGATTCCTGCCACCCCAGCTAGCATAGCTCCTCACACCCTGGGTGCTCAGGCCCCATCGTAGGGGTGTGTGTGGGGGGGTTGGAGGCAGGGTACAGGCCGCCAGGACAGGGTAACCAGGTTGATGGTAGGGGGCACCCAGCCAGCTAGTGGTGCTGGGTGGTCAACTGGGGACAAGGAGGGATGGACGGATGGACAGATGGATGGATGAATTCCACAAGAGCAAGAGGGCTGTTCCCAATGGGGGTCTTCCAATCCGAAGGTGTCCCCAGAAGTGGGGAAGAGGTGGTGGGCAAGGGGGCTCAGAGATGGTATGACCGAATCCAGCTTGAGGCTTTTGGTGCTTAGGTACCAACTGGACCGCAGCCAGGGTTGGGGGGGGGTGGGTTCTGGTGGGCAGGGGGAGATGGGACTGCCCAGGGAGTGTCTGCACCATCTTCAGAGGAGCCCCAGGGAGGGGGTTCCCGAGGGGCTGCCCTTCCCTCCTCCCTCCCCCAGGAAGATGAGAGCACCAGCACGTAGCACCAAGTTCCCCTGGAGATGGAGAGTGTGTGGAGGGGGAGCTCCTGGGTGGGAAGGGGGTGGGGGCAGGTGGCTAAGCCCACCTACCCCCGGCCTCTGAAGTAGGGGGTTTCCTGGGGCCCACTTGGCCACCACTCTTGTTTCCTTGCTTTGTGGATTTCCAAGGCCACCCAGCCTGGCCTGTCCCTCCTGGGGTGGGGACTGGGGGGGCGCGTAGGGGTAGGGATCACAAGGGGTTTACATTCTCCACCAAGCAGTAGCACCAACGTTGATGAGGTCGTGAGTCAGGGGTCCTGGGAAGCTCACTTTCTCTTCCGGCCACAGGATTTCCCCAGGCAGGCCCCACCTGGCCAGGAGGAGGCACACATGACCGTCGGACCCCTCCGGGGTACTGCCCAAGCCCCTGTCCACATAGCCTCATACCCCCATCACCACAATGGAGAACAGAGGCTCCAAAGCCATGAGAGGCCTGGCCACAGCCTCCTGCCAAACTCTGAGCCACTTGCCTTAACTCCTACTTGGCAGGTGGGAGGGAGCTGGGCCTGCAGGATGGTGGTCTAATCAACGCTCAGAGAGGGGAAGGGGCTTGACCTGGACAATGTCTGTATATTCTGAGCACACTGTGTTTGGGAAGCCTTCAGCAAGCAGCTCTGAACACACGAACTGGCCTCCTTTTAAGCCATCAAGGCACCCCTGTCTGGAAGGAGGGCCTGGAGTAGTTTCTGCCTCTGCTGGAGCTCAACGTGGCTCCATACCGCCACCTGGTGGCAGCGAGCTGCCGAGTGGGGCAGGAGGACAGGCTTTTCTGGTGAAACTCATCCAGGCCTGGATGTTTGGAAAGCAGCGGCATCTATCAGGCCCGGGGCATCAGGTGGTGCCTGACTGAGATCTGGGAACCCCGGACAGGGTCAGGCTGGTCTTGCCTCTGCCTCTCCCTGTCCTGGCCCCAGCTGCCTCCTCTGTGTGGTGGGAAGCAGGTGGGGACAGGCTGAGTAGACACAGGAACGGGCCTGTGTTCTTCGGGTCTCCTTTGGGCACTGTTGGAGGGGCCTTGGGAAGCGGTGACCATTAGCTGCCCCCCACATTCCCGAGGGACGTCTGCATCTTTGAGCAGGTGGTGCACCTTGGGTCCCCCATCCACCCCTCAGATTCCCTGACTCTAGGGTCTGTTGTCCTGTTTATCCTCTCTCTCCTCTGTTCCTCTGAGCTCCTCCCTTCTCTTTCCCTTGGCTCCTCCTGGTGGGGCTGGGGGTGCGGGTGGGCAGCAGCGAGGGAGGAACTGCCCGGCCTGGCCTGGGGCGAGCCTGGAGGGTCCCAGGCCCATTCTTAGCTCTGAGTGTCTGGGTCTGTGCTAGATGCAGGGATGGGAGTGACGAGTCCAGCTCCCTGCAACCTCCCCACTCCCTCTCTGCCTTGTCTAGCCCAAACCCGCTGTCCCCCTCCCAGGCTGATGGACCCCAGTCCTCTGCCTCTCCTCCTCCCTACCCTCTCCCAGGGGTGGAATCTCTACTCACCTTGGTATCCCAGGGCTCCCAGGGCCCCTCCATAGGGCTTGGGAGGTTTACCTGTGGAGGGAAGGGTGAGAGTTGGGGATGGGGGCAGGCTTTGCCGCCTTGCCCAGAACCCCTGCCATGAACCAGGCCTCTGGTCTCTCGCAGAAGATTCTGAAGACCTTCCTGCCCCTCCTGCCTGGGCTTCGGGTCTCCCCCCAGCCTGACCCCTGCTGTGCTCCCTACAGAGGGTCTCCTGCCTGTGGAAGTCTGAGCAGCTAGGAGGGTGCCTCCTGGCCATGCAGACCGCCCCAACCTAACATGCCCTGGGCTTTGACCTCCCTGACCACTTGCTTGAACGGATTTTATTTTCCCCTTACATGTGGTCATCAGGCTCTCCAGTTACCCCAGACACCAGGGCTGGCCCAGATCTCCATCTCCTGGTGTCCCGTTTCATGCCAAGCTGGGAGCTCCAGGAAAGGGGTCCTTGCCCTCATCCCTACACCCCATGGCTGAATTTTCTTGGCATTGGAGGGCCAGCCCAGGGCCGTGGCCACAGTCACCACTGCCACAGTAGCCCCCTACCCCCACTCCATGAAAGTAGCTCAGGGCCCCAACTCACCACCAATTCCCAGGCCCCCGGCTCCACCACCTGCAGGACAGGGAGAGGGGCCATGAGTGAGTCCACTTCTGGGGAGCCCGCCGAACCCCTCCCCAGGCAGCCAAGTTCTGGGCCTGGGTGTTGGGAGCCCTGGACTCTGCCTCACTCATCGTGTGACCTTGGGCAAGTCCCTGGCACTGCCTGAACCTCAGTCTGCCTCATGTGGAACATGGTGCTTTGGACAAGCTGATGCTCCCTGGCCTTGCAAGGGAGGGAGAGGAGAATGAGGGAGGCCCAGCTTCGTGTAGGGAGGTCATAGGTCTGCCCTGGGTCCTGGCTCTGCCCTTCCAAGCAGATTAAGTAGCAGAGATGGCAGGATGGGGCTAGAGGGCTAGGTGGGGGGGCCGAGGGACAGGGAGCCTGGGTGTACCTGGGTAAATAGGAGACAGTCCGAAGCCGGGTCTTGCTGCAACTCCTGTGGGAGAGGTTCAGGGTTGGCGTGGGGCAAGCCCTGCCGCAGCCTCATCACCTACTGCCTCTCTGCCCGGGACCATCTCACCTCCTCCCTGCTGTGCACCCCTCGCTGGCAAGAGTAGCTTTCCTTACAAACCTCGTCTCCACCTGGCATCCCTGCAGGGGGCCTCATACCCCCAAGCCCGTCGGCCTGGTCTGTTGCCCATGGTGTACCCCCTGGCCCTGAGGCCTGCCACTTTGCCCAGGATGTTCCCTTTCTTGGACTGTCCCTTGCCCCCTGTCTCTCATGTCTGTGTGCTAGATGCAGCTCCAGGAATTCCCCTGGCTGGCCAGAGAGGCCTCGTCTAGACCCAGGCAGAGCTGGGCATCTCACAGAGACATGGCCCCTACCTCCAACTTGGAATGGCCTGGTGGCTCCCAGGACACCACCAAGGCCAGTGGCACCTGAGAAGAGGGTGGGCAGGGGTTAGGACGAGGCACAGCTGAAGGGGCCCTGAGCAGCCCCTCTGGGTTCTAGGCCCAGGGGTACCCTGGGCAGGCCTTCAAGGGCAATGGGAGCCAGGTGGAGGTCTGAGCTGGGCCGGGGATGGGGCAGGGTGGTGGGGGCAGAAGCAGCCTGACATCTGGGCAGCAGGAGGGCAGGAAGGAGTGACTCACCATATTTGGCTGCTTTAGCAGCTGCAGCTGGGGACACACCTGGGGAGATGTAGGGCACAAGAGTCAGGCATAGCACCCCACAGGCCTGTCCCCTCCTGGCCTGCCCACCCGCTCATTACCTGCCACCATCCTCCAGCCACCCTCCCTCATCCATCCAGCTTCCCAAAAGTCTTTAGGAAGCTCTTCCTGCCTGTCCAGTCTGGAGCACACAGGATGAGACTCAGGACGGTATAGGTAGGGGGACACAGGGATGACCCACGAAAGAGTGACATGTCAACATGAGCCCCCCCAACCTGCGCCCTCAGTGGCTGAGAATTTGGGGGGAAAATTTTCCCTCCCAACTTTCCTTTTCCTCTCTGGGCAATGGGCACAACCATCCTCATCCTGATGAATTCTCACTTAAGGTGGGCGGGGAGGCTGACAGAGGAGAGTGAGAGGAGGGGGCCCTAGCTTGCGTTTGCAGAAGGTCCTCCAAATGCTGCAGGCCAGCTTGGGGCTGGTGTGGCAGGGTGGGAAGGAAAGTCAGTCTCTCTCTCTCTCATACACACATGCCCCCTTTACCCTCTGATTCCGGAGCAGACCCTCACCTCCGAAGCCCCCAACCCCTGGGATGGCTCCCCCGGCTCCGAGCCCCCCGGCTCCCAGGGCTCCGGCTCCCCCGAGGCCTGTGGAGAAGCTGTGTGTTAAACTCCTGCTGGTGGGAATGGCGGGTCTATCTGCAGATGGTGGGGTTCTCATCGCAGGACCCTGGTAGAGCCTGAGCTCCCAGGGCCTCGCAGGGTGTAGTGGTGCCAGGGTGTGGGCTGGGCTCCAGGGAGACTGCTCCTCAGGGCCCCGTGCATGGTCAGAGGCCTCCCCCCACCAAGCCCCAGGGGCCAGCCAGTGCTCACCATATTGGGCAGCTTTGGCAGCAGCTTTGGCAGCAGCAGCTGAGGCTGCAGGTCCGGCTCCTGGGGACACAGAAGGAATCAGGGGGAGGGACTCTCCACTGGCCAGTCTTCCTCCCTGCCCAACCTGTCCTGGGCTTCCGACTCACCTGCCACACCACCTGGGACACCTGCTCCGCCAAGAGCCCCGATCCCTCCTGCTCCTGTGGAGAGAAGGTAAGAGTCAGTACCCCAATTTTTTCAGGGATGCTAGCTATGCAGACATGTGGACAAAGCCATGTGACCCAGCGGAAGGAGCACTTGGCCAGGCACCTGGGTCTGAGACCTGGCTCTGTCCTGACCAATGGGGCAAGTCTTGAGTCTTGGCCTGCCCATTTCTTCTCCTTCCTAGGCAGCTAGCACTGAGAGCCACCAGTGCCTTCAGTGGTGGCTACTAGCTGCTGGGGGTAGAAGAGTACTGTCAGGTTCTGACAGCCCTGTGTTCAAATTCTGATTTCTCCACTCATTATAGCTGTCGCCTCTTGGAGTCCCAGAGCTCCATCTCCCTAACAGGGGTGATGATCCGTACCCTGCTTCCACTATCAGTGTTTGGAAGGGTGAAGGGACACACTCCTGTGCACGAACTCTGAGTTCTGAACCACTACTCGGTGCAGAGCTGGGTATGGCCACAGTTCACACGTCACCCTTCTCTGTGCTTCGAATGTTGTAACCTGCTTATAATTCATCACAGCAGGGAAGGGAGGGACCACTATCACCCCCATTTTGCAGATGAGAATATTGAAGCACAGCAGAGGTTAAGCGATGTCCTCAAGTTTCCACAGCAAGACCTGGCTCGGGAGCCAGCGCCCTCAACTGCTTTGTTTCCCGGGCAACATCTGTTAGACTCAGGCGGCCGGCAGCCGGCCAGACACAGAAGAGGGGCCTGTGGGTCACCAGGCCCGCGGGGGGTGGGGGGCCGAGGAAGCCGGGATTTTCCGCGGTGGAAACTGGCCCTAAGTGGACGGGCCAGGGCTGGTTGGCGGTTCCCTGGCAGGGGCCCTGGTCCGGCTCCTAGGAGGCCAGGAATGTGGGGGCCACAGACAGTGTGGGGCTGCCAGGGCACCACGCGGAGGGACAGACAGGCCTGCCACGTCCTCCAGGCTCGTGGCAGGCTCAGTCATGCTGACAGCAAGGCAGGCGGGAGGCTGGGGGCCTGGACGAGGTGTCCCGGCACTGCTGGCAAGGAGGAAGAAGCTGCCCTGCTGATGGCAGGCCTGGCCCCTGGCCCCTGGCCCCTGGCCTTGGGTCCCACGCAACTGTCAGGACCAGAAGGGCCTTAGGGACCACAGTCCTCATCAGGGAACTGCCTGCCACCAGTGGGGCTGGAAATGTGAGGGACGTTTTGAGTCATCCTGGAGCTGGAGGCACGATAGGCGTTCAGCAGGCTGGAGCCAGGCCTGCTAAACCATCATTAATGTGCCCTAGAAACTGCCTTTTTCCATCCTGACCCTCCCAGCCCTGTGCTGCAGGCTCTCGGCACTGGGCCCCGGTGCATGGACGGGAGATGGGTGACCAGGTGTTATCAGGGCTTGGGACCGGAGGGGGCGGTGTGTGGGGCCCACTCACCATATTTGGCTGCTTTTGCTGCAGCCAGGGTTCCAGGTACTGGGGAAGAGAGAAAAAGGAGAAGGGGGCTGGTCAGCAGCTGAGCTCTGTGCCCGGGAGTTCCGCCTCCTCCAGGGAGCCCTCCCTGACTTCCTCAGCCTTCATTGGTCCTCTCAAAGCTCTGAAACCATGGCTTTCCAGCTGGCACTCACTGCACCTCTGCTCTGGGCACAGAGTTCCAGGATCTAACCGTGCTGCTGCCAATTGGGTCTGGGGCTGCATGAAGGCTGAGCTGTGCCTCCTTCCAACTGCCCCCCCATCTCCTTGTGCACAGTGTGGTCCTGGGGGCCTGTGGGTCCTAGTGGCCCTTTTGTCATCGTGCACTGACAAGGGGAGTGCACTGGCCCACTCAGGCCTGCTGACCTCAGGGGCCTCCACCCTCCTTTCCTGGGAGTGGGCTACTTCTCAGTTTGGAACTCTGTTCCTCCTCTCCTGAGCAGGCAGGTACTCTGAAATCTAGCAGCCTGGGGCTCCCTTTGCCTGGCATGCCCCCCATCTCTTACCCCAGTCATCTCTGACTGCCTGGGGGCTCACTGCGAGCTCCTGAGTAAGGCTGCTGGGGATGTGCCGGCAGGATAAGAGGTCTCCCTCCTCTGAGCTAGGGGGCAGTTTCTGCCCAGGCCCTAGAGGTCGCCTCACCTGCACCTGCCCCAAAGCCAGGAACGCCAGCACCAACTCCAAAGCCAGGAACGCCAGCACCAACTCCAAAGCCAGGGACGCCAGCACCAACTCCAAATCCAGGGACGCCAGCGGGAAGCCCAGCTGCAGCCCCTGGGGGAGGTGGGCAGTGGTGGGGCAGCGGCGGGCAGGGAGCACGCACCCACATGGGTGCCCTGCCCAGGGAGCTGAGTCAGGCCCAAGGGCGGGGGGCCCAAACCCACGCAGGGGCCTTCTCCCGTTACACCTGCCCTCTCTATACAGCCATCAAGAATGATCTTCCTAAGTCTCCCACCGACCGTCAAGTCCAGACCCTCCCAGGCTGGCACTCAGGGCTGCACAGGGACCATGGACACCACCCTCCTTCATGCCTAGTCTGTGCTGCCGACCCCCCTGGCAGCCGCTCTGGGATCTAATGAGGCTGCATAGCATGGTGGTGGGGGTGCTTCTCGGGGTCCCTCTGGGCCAGCTCTGGGCTCACGGGCCGAGGAGAAATGAGTGGCAGGGCACTCACGGTACTGCGCTTTGGCGGCCGCTTTAGCAGCGGCTTTGGCAGCAGCTGGGGTCCCCACTCCTGCAGGGAGAGGGAGGGGGTTCAGGGACGGCACCCAGGGAGGACTCAGAGGCCCCTGAGGCCCACTTACACGGGCAGCTCACCTGTAACACCACCGGGGCCGATGCCAATGCCGGGACCAATGCCAGGACCAACACCGGGACCGACGCCGGGACCAACACCAGGACCGACACCTGGACCCACGCCGGGACCCACGCCGACACCGGGACCTAACCCTGCAAGAGCGAGAAGAGCTCATTGTTAGCCCAGTCTTGACCAAGGACAGAAGCTGATGGGAAGAGCAGAGGGCTGGGAGTCAAGAGCCTTGGGATCATGTCCCAGCCTGGACACAGATTTGCTGTGTGATGTTGGACAAGTTACTTTCCCTCGATGAGGCTCAGCTTCCTCATCCCTACAACGAAGCATGTGTAGGATCAGGGGCCCTTTTTTAAAAATATTTTTAAGATTTTATTTATTTATTCATGAGAGACACAGACAGAGAGGCAGAGACATAGGCAGAGGGAGAAGCAGGCTCCCTGCGGGGAACCCAATGCGGAACTCGATCCCAGAACCCTGGGATCATGACCTGAGCCGAAGGCAAATGCTCAACTGATGAGCCACCCAGGTGCCCCAGGATCAGGAGCTCTTAACTTTTGGAAGACAAGGACCCCTTTGGGGCTTCTGAGGGTGACAGAGGCAGCTGTACTGTAAAGGGAGCTTGGCAAGACAAGGAGACCTGGGCTCAAAGCTCAGCTCAGTGGCCGCTGAGCTCAGCAAATGTGGGCATGTTACTCAAGCTCTTAGAATCTCACTTTCCACATCTGTAAAATGGGAATAATAATACCAACTCCATAAAGTTGGTGTAAGGATTCCCCTCGCAAATAGTGGCTTGGCAAAAAGGGGTCATTTGCCATATGCGAGTTTGGGAGTCAGCAGACCTGAAGTCAAGATGTTCTCTGGCCTAGACAGTAAATTTTGTGATTTGAACCTTGATGTCTGCGAGTCCCTAAGGCCCAGGCAGAGGGGACCGCTCCTCCCACCACTGGCCCAGAGCCTGGTGTACAGTTGGAATCTAAATGGGGCTGCTGTGGTTTGCCATGTTCAGGAAGGTGTGAATGCCTGGGCCTGCCAGGGGGGACTTCAGATGTAGCAAGAGACAGACAGCTTCATCAGGGTGCAAGAAGTAGTACTGTAGCTCTCGGAGCAGAGGAGTCCGGTGAGCCCAGCTGTAGTCCAGAGGGGGGACAGGCCCAGCTTGGGCTGGGCTGGATTTGGAGGCAACAAGGGCTTTGGGAAGGCTGAAGAGCCAGGTCTGGAGGGCTCACCAAGGGCCGTTCTCACTTTGCTGTCCTGATCAGAACTTTACCTACACCTCTAAATGTGGTTGGATACGCCGAAGGTGGTGAGAAAGCCCAGAATGTGACAGCTCTGGGGGGCTTGCCTTCCAAGGGTCACTGAGGCCCCAGAGCAAGGAATGTGAGGGAACAGTTCTCCAGGATGGGGGCTGGGAGCAGGATGAGGGGCTGGGGGATGCTTACCAAACTGGGCAGCTTTGGCAGCGGCTTTGGCAGCTGCAGCAGCTGGGGTCCCTGCTCCTGGAGAGGTAAAGGGTAGGGTCAGGGGGCAGTCCCCAACACCCCTCTCCACATCTCCTCCACCCCCCACTGTCCCCTATTCTGGGAAGACCACCTGACCCTCCCCATGCTGCCTCCTCAACCTGCAGACAGAGAAAGAGTACACAGGGCCAGCGTGGCTCCCAGGCCCTCTGGGAGGACGGCCCACTAGCCCAGCTGGGCACATCCCTTCTTGAGAAGCAGCTCTGTGACTGTGAGGTTCTAGGTCTGGCTACGGCAGAGGGGAGCCCAGAGCCGATGTGCAGAAGCACAGACCCTCTCCCAAGCCTCTAGAAGTCTCTTGTAGCTTTCTGCTGAAGGTGGTGTTAATTAAAAAAAAAAAAAAAATCTAACAGTGCTTGTATCCCAAACTGGAGGAAACAGCTCGTTTTTTGAGGAGGAAACACAAAAGGAAAAATTTTCTCCCATAAAGTAGGCATGCAGAGAAGGAATCTGGTGGGGAAGAACAGCCAAGGAAGTCTCTAACTTAATCTCCTTGTAATTTCATTTCTTCTCTTTGGCCTGTGACTGCTGGGGGAGGATGAACCCAGGAGAGCCATAGGGGGGCACAGGCCCTCCCCTCGATCAGGAATCAGAGAGGCCACTGGAGTAAAAGAGGCCCCTCAGCCCTGGCAGAGCAGAGCTCCGCTGCCTATCCCGGTGGTGGCTGACTTCCCGAGCCTCCCCAGCAAGCTAGGATCCCATGGGGGGGTCTTCCTTCCAAAGCAGGGAAATTTGCTCTCCCTCCTCCCCATCTCTGGGCTCCATAAAAGTCTTGTCAATCCGCAAAATGATGCCCTTGACCTGGTCAGCTCCAGGGCTCTGCGAGACAAACCAAACCCATCTCTGGGTTAGGGACACAGCTCACCTGGCACCGCTCCTGTGCCTGGCACACCTGCTACTCCATCTCCGACTCCTGGCACCAGTCCCCCTAAGGCTCCTACTCCTCCAGCACCTGGAGGAGTGAAGAGTGTCAGGCTCTGTCCCTCGAATCACCCAGTTCTTGGGAGAGCGAAGGGTCAGGGTGGTGTGGGGAGCAGAATGGCTGCGTGGGCACCTCCGACTTGCTGGTTTGGGGTCGAGGTAGTGAGCAGGGCCCCAATAATCGTAGTGGTGGGTAATTGAAGAGGGTGGAAGAGTTCAGAGTGGCTTTGGAAGATGGGGCTAGAGACTCCCCGCCTCCACCTTAACCTGGGCCATTGAGCCCCAGAGGTCTGAGCATGAGGTGGCTCTGCCCTTGTGCTGGAGAAGCGCTCTGAGCTTGGAGCCTGGGTGCCACGGGACAGCAGGGCTCGGGAGGAGGGGAGGGTGCTAGCCTTGGCGTGGGGACAGGCAGGGCTGGGCACTTACCATACTTGGCTGCCTTGGCTGCGGCTGCTGCCTGAGCGGCTGCTGCTGCCTGGGCTGCAGCTGTGGGGAGGGAGAGAGCCCCTCAGGAACCCCACTGGATCCGGAGGGAGGCGGCTATGCCTACCGCACACTTACCCAAAAGAGCTGGAACCCCTCTCTGCACCCCACCCCCAGCTCCCTGAGCACTCTGAAGCCCAGTCTATACTCCCCTGCACCTCCCTTCTCCAGAGCCCTTTTCCTCAGTTCCCCACATGGAACTCAGGCTCACGGGAAAGGGGGGCTCCAGGAACACCTCCAACTCCAGCTCCGATACCGTAACCAGGAAAGCCCCCAGCACCAACTCCCACTCCGTAAGTGGGAATGCCTCCAACTCCCACTCCAGCTCTGGCCCCTGTAGAGGGAAGAGAATCAGGTGGAAAAGCGTCACAGTAAGAGAGGCTGGGAAGAGCTTGGGGTTGGGGGGATGCTGGTCAACTGGGAAAGAGGACACAAGCCTCCCCCAAGTCTGGTCCATGAAGGGCCAGAAACCATAAAATGGCCCCAGACCAGCCTCCTCCAGGGAGACTTTATGGACACCCCCCATCCCTCCGTGTTCTCCAATCCCTTTCTTCTCTGAGCACTTGGGGAAGGGCCTCGTTGTTGGCTATGGAGAGACTGTGGGCAGGACCATATCCCTAGCCAGGCTTGGGCTCCTCTGACAGGGCCCTGGCCAGGGTCAGGGACACTGTCTCCATTGGGAATGCCATACTGGGACTCTCCCATCCCTCAGCCCCATGGCCTCATGGTAGGAGACATTTTCCTGGGGCCCAACAATTCCAAGTCCCAGCTCTGCCAATGACTTGCTGTGTGACCCTGGGCAAATTACTCCCCTTCTCTGGCCAGAATCAGGTGGGGCAGAGCTATCAGCACAGCACTTACCATATTTGGCTGCTTTGGCGGCTGCTTTAGCGGCTGCAGCTGGTGACACAGCTCCTGGAGATACCAAGGGGAACACAGATGACACAACGGTCTACCTATCTATTTACCCATACATCTCCCCTTCTACTCACGTGTTCATCTGTCTTCTTAACCACCCATTTATCCACCCATTAATCTACCCATATGTCTGTCCATTTGTTTGTCTATCCTTGGGCTTCCATCCACCCCCTCAACCAACTTAATCAACTCTGTCCATCCATGTACCCACTTATCCACTCATCTGCCTACTTATCCATTCATCTAACTATCCAGTTATTCATTTTGCATTTGCCTTCTATGCACTCATCTCGTCATTTGCTCATACAACCATGCGCTTATCCATCTATTCATCTATCCACCTATCCATCCATCCGTCCATCCATCCATCCTTTTTTCAATTTTATTTATTTAAAGATTTTATTTATTTATTCATGAGACGCACACACACACACACACACACACACACAGAGGCAGAGACACAGGCAGAGGGAGAAGCAGGCTCCATGCAGGGAGCCCGACGTGGGACTCAATCCTGGGTCTCCAGGATCCCGCCCTGGGCTGAAGGTGTTGCTAAACCGCTGAGCCACCTGGGCTGCCCTCAATCCATCCTTCTTACCACTTATCCAGTGCCCTACCTGCCTTTCCACCTGTCTTTCTATCTATGCATTCATCTCTCTATGTCTCTATGCATCCTTGTATTTGTCCCTTCATCTACCCATTCCTTCGTTCATCAACTTGTCCATGCATCTACTTGGCCATTCACCTACTTGCCCATTTGTCTACCTGCCTATCCATCCATCCACCCACCGTTTACTGAGCACCTATTTAGCTAAGGGCTGGGGACACACTGACAGCCAGAAGACAAATTAGAGAAGTTGATGCTGGCTGTGACTAATTAGGAGGTTGTTACAGCCCAAGGAAGAGAAGATGAGGCATGGCCAAGGATATGAAGAAAAGATGATAGATGAGTGAGGTATTGGGGGAGTCCAAAAGTCTTAGCAATGGTTTTAATATCGCTTTCTTGGGTTGCCTGGGTGGCTCAGCAGTTGAATGTCTGCTTTTGGCTCAGGGAGTGACTCAGAGTCCTGGGATCGAGTCCCGCATCAGGCTTCCTGCATGGAGCCTGCCTATGTCTCTGTCTTTCTCTCTGTGTCTTTTATGAATAAATAAGTAAAATCTTAAAAAAATAATATTGCTTTCTTACATGTTCATGCACATGCACACACAAAGCTCAGCTCACCTGGTCCACCCACAATGCCAGGCCCCCCAACACCTGGGACTCCGACACCTGGGACTCCAACACCTGGAACTCCAAAGCCTGGCCCACCAGGCACCAAGCCTCCAGCAGCTCCTGTAAAAGGGAAGGATTGTTCTCCTGGCCTGGACCCCATAGGAACCTCAGAGGGCCTCCAAGGGCACATCTCTGGGAGCTCTGGGAATGGCAGGTCCTGAGGGCAGGATCCCAGGTGGGCTGGCATTGCCCCTGCCTGGATCCTACTCAACTGAGAGATGGGAAGGGATGCCAGAACCTGCACAGAGCTCTGAGGGTTTGGATCTGTGGGTGGGAAGACTGCAATGTAGGTTTAAAGCAAAGTCAGGTCTCTCTGCTGGGCCCCCAGGCAGTGGGTGCAACAGCATTGGGGCAGCCCTGAGGGTAGGATGGGAGGAGCCAGATGCTCCATGGGACACCTCCCCACCTCATGCTCCCAGCTGGGCCAATCAGTGGAGAACAGTGGCCTTCCAGAAAGAGTGGCCAGAATGGGCAAGGGCAAGGAGGTAAGAACATTGCATGTTTGGGGAGGGGGAGACAGACTGCCATAGATGGATGAGGGCAAAGTCCACCAGCCTCATAGTACTAGGCTATCCAAGGCCCACATGGACAGGGGGCTGAGGGCACCAGGGCCTGGGTTGGCCACCCCTTGGGGCACTCACCATACTTAGCTGCCTTTGCGGCGGCCTTTGCAGCAGCTGGAGTCCCCGCCCCTGGAGAGATGGCCACAGGGGGTAAGGCCCTTTCCTGGTGGCCCTCCCAAGAACATCCCCAGCCCCTGCTGGATGGACGCTACCTGCGATGCCTCCGATCCCAGGAATTGCACCAGCCCCGCCGGGAATGCCGGCGCCTCCAACACCAGGGAGAACCCCAGCTCCTCCGGCACCTGCTGGGATGGGGACAGTGAAGATGTGGCTCCCAGGGCCTCTCCTGAGGCTGGGTAGGAAGGCTGCTTGGATGCTGGAATTTTAACTAGCACAGTCTCCTCTGGGAATGCAGCCCAGGCATCTCCGGCTGGGCCTGCTGGAGGAGGCCCCCACCTCACTGTTCCTTGACTCACCCCCAAAGTGTCCATTTCAACACGCTCATTAAGGGACTTCGATGTTTTCAGACAAATCCCATTCTAATCACTGCCACATACTGAGAAACCACAAACGGCCGCTCCCCGGGCCAGAGGGGCCCCTGTAGGAATGTTCAAGGCTTCCCCTCCCTGTGTTCCGAACACTGGGCCAAGTTTGTAATCCAAGAGCCTGGCTGCCCGGCTCTGGCAGCCCCTCGTCGCCCCACTCTCCTGCTCCCACATTCCAGCCATCCCCTCCAGCCTTGGGGGCCAACAAGGAGGGCCAGTGGGGCCTCCATGGAGCAGGCCTCCAGCTTGGGGCTTCCCCTCCACTCTTGCCTCCTTGGGCTGGTGGGGAGATGTCCTCTGTCCCATTGGGGTCCAGGAGGGACTCCCCTGGGACTGGAGATGAAAGTTAGGACCTCAGCCCTGTAATGTGATTCTGAACTGGGGGATGAGCTGGGGCAGGGCACAGATGCTCACTCTGCCCTCCCTATGTGCATGGGGAAGGCCATGCCATGCCTGCTAGCCAAGGGATCATGGGGCAGGTTAAAGGTTTTATAGGACACATTAAATTGATACTGAACAACTGCATTGTTTAAATGCTCATGTAGGACCACCTAAAATTATCATTCTAACCACCATAGCACCCATCCTCTCTGCCCAGGCTTCTCCTTCCTATTTTAACCACATGTCAAACTCCAGAATCAAACATCATTTTCTCTGAGAAGCCTTCCTGATTTCCCCCAGGTAGGAATAATGTCTCCCTCTTCTTGATTCCCACCATAGTGCCTGTATTTTCCAGCAAGTTTCTTATTTGACCCTGGTCTCTGAAATGGATGGAAGGATGGATGGAAGGAAGGAGGGACTGATGGATGGAGGGATGGATGGAGGGAGGGATGGATAGATATGGGATGGAAGGATGGAAAGAGGGAGGGACTGATGGATAGATGGAGGGAGGGAGGGATAGATGAAGGATGGAGGGATGGGAAGAGGGAGGCATGGAAGGATTTAGAGGGAGGAATGGAGGGCAGATGAATAGATGGATGGATGAATGAAGGGATAGAGGGAAGAGTGGATAGATAGAGGGATGGAAGGAAGGAGGGATTGATGAATGGATGGATGGAGGAGTGGAGAGGAAGTGGATGGATGGATGGGAGGGAAGATGGATGAGAGATAGGGATGGATGGAGAGAAGGATAGAAGAAAGATTGAGTGGATGGACACATGGAGGAATGGATGGTATTGAAAACATTGGATAAATGGGGTGTGGAGGGGCTGCCTTCGTTAGTTCTCTGTGAGGCAGACTCTCAGGGATAATAGGGATGGAGAGGCTGGGAGCTGGGCGCTGGCAGGTGCACTCACCGTACTTTGCTGCTTTAGCTGCTGCTGCTGCAGCCTGGGTGCCAACTCCTGGGGGAGGAAAGAGAAAGACTCTGAAAACTGTACTCCGGCCTGTCCAGAACCCACCTATTCCCCTATTCCAGCCCTATGAGAACCAACCCTTTCACAAAAGGGTGTGGATGAGGAGCCTCATAGCAAGCAGAGCTGAGGGAGCTGCCCCCACCCAAGATCCTTCTGCAGGCTCAGACTGGGGTCTGGATGCAGGGTGGGCTGGCTTGTATCCTGGAGAGATCCTGGCCAGCCTCAGGGCTCTGGAGCCCAGGCAATTGATTGGTGCCCCTTTGGCTGACAGTTGGGGGAGGTTTTCCTTACCTGTCCCCGTCGGGTACCCAGCCTTGCCTGCAGCACCTGCCACTCCTCCAGGCCCATAGCCTATGAAACAGAGAGGCTCAGTGGGCATCTGCGCAGATCTCGCTGTGGCCGCCCACCCCTGCCCTGAGCCTCAGGAGTCAGGCTGCCCAGAGTCTCCACCCTTTCACTCCCAGCCAGAGTTACAAAACAGATATAAATGGGTGTCGGACACTTATTCCCATTTACAGATGAAGAAACTGGTTTACAGAGAAGAAGCTGATTTGCCCAAAGGCCTGGGGCTAAGTGTGAGGGCCAGGATTGAGAAGCAGGCTGCCTCAGTCCAGGTTCTATGTTTCTTAGGGGATTCCCTTGCCAAGCCTCTACCCCATCCCCAGTTGGGTGCTCTCCTTGCCAGGATCCTGGAGCTGGAAAGAGCTAGAAGCCCATCCATTTAGGAGGGTCTTACTCACCATAGGGCAGTTTCCCAGTGCTGTAGGGCAGTCCGTAGCCACCTGAAGAGAGGGCAGGGCGGGCTCAGAGGCTGGGTGCCTGTGCTGGGCTCCCACTGCCCATGGAGACAGATCTATACCCACTGATACTGGGGCCTGAGACCTCCCTACACGCACCAAAGGTTCTGAGCTGCTCAGAGAGGCTCTTCGGTGGAGGAGGCCCTGGCTGGAGGAGGGAAAGGGCACCCCTGCCCGAGGGGCTTATGGAACACCCCTTCCCCTACAAAACTAGGACCTGCTGTGGCCCTGGAATCTTAGTATCTTCCTTATCATCCTCCCAACAGGAAATATCTCATTGTCTCAGCTGATTGTGGGGACAGGGGTCGACATCAGAGGGGTCTTTCCATTGATGGCTGTTTCTTACCATCAACATATATTGTTTCCCATCGGGGCTGTGATTCTGTGTACCTGTGCATGCATGAACATGTGTGTACACGTGTGTGCATGTAAGTGAGGCCAGGGCCTACAGGATTCCTTTCACTTGCTGGCGACCAGATGTGGGCTTCAATGCTCAGGTGTCCTAACCGCTCCCCCCAAGACACCAGTGGCCAAAAAATGTCCCCCACAAGCTGGCTTCTCAGCAGTGAGGCCCTGTGAGTGGTGCCCCCTTGAGTCCTCCTCCTGATTTACCCGGCAGCTTGGGTGCCTTGATAGGGTACCCCAGCGGGACTCCAGGCTGCTGGCCCCCAAAGGGTCCAACTCCTGCGGGAACAAGGAGAGCAAACTCAGGTCCCAGCAACGTGGGCCAGCAGCCCTGCAGAGCCCTCGGCCTCACACTCCACTTTCTGCTCAGAATGAGTTCCAGAAACCATCCTGTCTTCCTGCCTCTTTGTCACTGGTCAGCCTGGCATTCCTCAGTGCCAGGTCACTTCCTCCAAGAAAGTGCAGGACTCTCTACCTCCTGGGGCTTGGGCCACAGTTGAGGCCTGTACCTCTCACGGCATTTGGCACAGACGGGTGGGTTTTCTGGGCTCATTTGGCTACTACACAGAGGGCTTAGGATTGAGGAAGCGGCCTGTGATTGAGGCCACATTGTGCTGAAGCCTGTCCAAGGCCTGGGGCAGTAGGCATGAGGGAAGCTGGACAGGCCTCGATGGGATTTGGGGGTGCCTGGCCCCCTCCCAGGGCAAGAGCCCCTGCCTGGCTGGCTACTCGTCTGGCCTGCCCACCCACCAAGGGACACCCAGCTTTGCCTCACCTGGGATTCCAGCAAAAGCTCCGCCTCCACCTGCAAGGACAAGGAGCCAACACTGCAGCCCTGCCACCCTGGGTGCCGGGCATCAAGGTGCCAGGCAACCTTGAGGGGTGAGCCGACCAGAGCACGGCCCATTCTGCCCAGACCTCCCAGCTCAGATTTGGGGATTTCTGAGAGGGGTGCTGCCCACCTTGACCAGCTGGAATGGGGCTGGAGCACAAGAGGTACCCACCTGGAAGGCCCTGGGCCCAGGGTCCCCATCCCCACCCGCACCCCCACCCCAGGCCAAAGGGGCCTGAGGGTGGCTGGAAATTCCTGCCATGGGCTCCCAGTCCCCTGGCCACATACCTGGGGCCTTGGCCTTGACTCCTGTTCCGGTGGGGACCCCAGGGAGCACTCCCACACCTGGGAAGCGAGCTCCTGAGGGGACAGAGAGGGAAGCTGGTAGCGAGGGCGGGAAGGCAGGCCTTGCAAGCACCCACACCTCCCCTGGCTTACAGAGCTGACCTTTGGCAGTATCAGTGACGGGCATGGCTCATGGGGTGGCAGTGACTCTCTTTCCCTGTCTGCCCCAAGGTCAGAAGACCTGAGCTTTAATCCCATTTCCTAGGCACTTGAGCCTTCGCCTCAGTTGGACTTCTCTCCAAACTGGAGTTAATTCCTAGCTACACTGCCCGGTGTCCCCAGAGAAGGGAGACGGTGAAAGCCTGCTTGAAGGGGGAGGCCCATGTCCTTCTGGGCCCCTCCTGGAGGTGCACTCCCACCAAACATAAAGCAGTCATCTGCTGTGGCTGGGAACTCCATTTGCCAGCTTCTGGTGCTTCCACTGTTCCTGGGGCCACTGGAGCTGGACCACCTCGGCCAGAGGGACAGTGAGGAGGGACACCCTGTCAGCAGATCCCTCAGAGCAGGCCTAATCTGGGCTTTTGGGGGAATTCAGGAGGTCACATGTTGGGCGGGGTGGCCAGGCCCTGGCAGGGAAAGGAGGGCAAGAGGGCAGCTCAGAGGGGTCTCCTGCAGGGCGGATGTGCTGGGCGGGCCTCCTGGTGACTCAGAGCTTTTGGGAAACAGCTGGCCACAGTGGGATGTGGTGTGTCCCCGGGGGGCCCTCCTTGGGCTGTGATGATGATGATGGTCTGGGTTTGGGGCCGGGGTAAAGCTGACTGGCCTCTGTGGGGAGAGATGCCCAGGGGCCTTCTTTCTGTTGGCCTGAGCTTTGATGCTTACGGAGATGGGGTTGGCTGGGTCACCCTGGCTCCTGGGGAGGTGACAGGTCACCTGGGAGGGTGCCAGAGGCTACTCTCTTTGCTATAGGGTTCCCTTCTTCCTCTGGTCCTCACCTGTGCCTGGGAGCACTCCACCTGGGTATACACCTGGCAGCCCCACACCTGTGGCCAAGAGAAGAGGTTTGAGCCGTGAGCCGCAGCCCAGTCCCTAGGTACCCCTCCTGGGCCCCTCTCTCTGGAGTGGCTCCGGGGCTCCCAGACCTGCCGCCCAGGGCCTGGAGATGTAGCCAGGGACATATGTGTGGTGGCCGCAGCTCTCCCACGAGTTTCGGAAGTCATCTGCAAACCCTTCTGTGTGTGGATTTATCTTGTCTCCTGGAGCCTGTTTACATGGCTGGCTCAGCCCACCTCTGGGCTAACAGCTTCCAGATGTTCCCTCCCTGCTGTGTGGACTCAGGCAGCCTTTTGTTCAACCTGAAGTCACTTCCTCAAGGGCTTTGTGCAGAGAACAAGCACCAGATGGGGAGTCAGGGCGCCCCGGGCTTAGCCCCGCTCTGCCGTGACTGCCTTAGGCCCTTCAGTGCTGACTGTCCATCCTGAGTGCTCCCCCCACCCCCCCGCCCCGCGCCCCATCTGTCACTTGACTGCCTGCCATAGATGGTGTCTCCGAGGTCTCTTTCTACCCCAAGATGTGGAAGAAGGGCCCGGAAGGTAGGCCGGGGCATCTCTCCCGTTATACCACGCGTGGGGCCTGGCTGGCTGCCCTGCCTGCTATGCCTGGGGCCCCCCCGCTTCCTGTGCTCTACCCTCCCCGCCCTCCACCCTCCAGCCCCGGGGACTGCACACTGACCGGGCACTTTCCCGGGCTTCCCTCCCGCTCCGACTCCGACTCCGACTCCGGCTCCGGGCTGAGGCACCACCGCACCTGGCACGGGATGGGCCGCATCAGAGTGGGTGCCTCCCATGCCTGCGGCCCTCACCTGGGCAACTCAGGTCTAACCCTCATACCTGTAGACACTCCTAAGCCGCCAACACCACCAATGCCGCCAACACCACCAAGCCCAGCACCTACAGAGCCAAGAGCGGGAGAGGGAAGGGGTCACACCGGGAATGCTGGGAGGCAGGAGGGCCCTGGGCTGCCCAAGGTCCTGCATTAGGTCTGGCCGGGCCACCGCCTCACTTTGACACTTGGGCACAGCTGGTTGCCTCCCCAGCCCCGGAGGATTGGAGATAAGAATTCTGCGGTCCGCGCGCCTCCCCAGAAAGGGGCTTTTGCAAAGTTGGGAGCTCACAGAGGGCAGAGGGCTTACGGCATGTCCCCAGGGGTAACACTCACCAGCCTTGGCAGCTTTATAGGCTGCAGCAGCACCCGCCACTCCTCCGGGCACCAGACCCCCAGGGAAGGCTCCTGCAGGAAAGGCCCCGAGCCCTGCCGAGGGGAGGACTGGGTGAGGCTCTGAGCCCCAGCCTGCCGGGCCCTCTCCCTCCTGGGAGGTGCATTTGAGGTGGCTTCTCTGCTCTCTGTAGGACTTCCATGCCAAACAATGACCCCTGCTCCCAGGACTAGGTTTAGTGCTGGAGGGCAAAATATGCCAGGCTGCTCTGCTCAGCCTCACAAAATTGCTGGGATCTTTTGGGATCCTACTCCCCTCCTCCAGAAAGCCTTTCCAAGGCCCTGCTGAGTTGAACCGCTCTGGGCTCCATTGGCCCCTGGGACTTCTCTCCAGCTCTCCCCAAGACCCAGCTATGACCTATGTGTGCCCTGGGCAGCTGCTCAGGGCAGGTGGTCTCCACATCACCTCCCATGCTAGTATCCAGGACCGGCCTGGCCTGCCATCCCTGATACCCCAACTGCCCTCCACACTGAACAGATGCCCTGGGCTTGGCTCTGGCCCCCAGATGGGCACGTTGCCTGGGTATCAGCACTAACCTGCTCCAGGGCCACCGCCTGCCAGCCCAGCAGCACCTGTGGGGAGAAGGGGACAGAGCCAGGTGAGGAGAGGAGAGGCTGGCATGTGGGCATTATTCTGGGGCCCAGAGTGGGAGGGGTCTTGTGGAGGGTGACCAGGAACCAGGCAGTTCTGTGGTCATTGAGTGGCGCTCAGCCCTTAGGCTGGACTTAAGCAATTGGTACTTAGGGATCGATCCTGATAAAATAGTGAGCAGCTACTATGTACCGTGCAGGTGTGATAGCCTTGACCCCCCTGCCCCCATAACACTCCTAGGCTAGACCTTGCTTCCCCTAGACCTGTCAGGTAATGGGGGTCCCATCAGGGCTTTCTGTGCCAGAAAGCCCTGCTTCTCTGTTCTTACCCTCGGCACCCACCCCCCTGGACTGCTTCCTTGCAGGGGTCCCCTGGCTCAGCCCACTCCTCTTCCCCTATATCTGGAACCCCTTCTGCCTCCCACCATTTGTCTGTCTGTCCATCCAGCCAGCCCTGCAGTCCAGAAGCCTTTTTGCTTGCAGACGGATGCTAAAATGTTTATGAGAAGCCAAATGGGTCCCTTTGGCTCTCTCCTTCCCACATCTGGGCCCAATTGCTCTTTCTCCCCCTCCAGGAGACATTCCATGGCTTGGGCCAGGACTGATGGGCAATCAGGTTGGAGTTCACAACCGAGCCAGGTTTGTTTCCAATTCTGTGAGAATCTTTCCTGCAAGCTCCAGTCCTGGCTGCCAGTGTCCTAATCCCCGGGGCAGCCCTCTCTGGGGATAGATGCCAGACGTGGGGGTACTGCTGAACCCTAGGGGCAGGGAGGTCTCTCTGGCTTTCACTAGATGTGGTCCCCTGTCCCACGCCCATCGCCTAATTTGTCTGAGTTGACCATGTCTGAAACTCAGCCATCCTCTCTGTAAGGTGCGTCTCTAACTCCGGTCCCTCTCCCGTCCAGGCAGATGTGGTGTACGTCAGGCCAGGCCTGAGATGTGCTGGGCTCACTTCCTGAGCACCGCAGGCCCTGCCCCTCCCCAGTTGTGTCAGGGCTTTCTCTCAAGCCAAGCCCATTTCCTGAGCTCCAAGAGGGCAGGGAACACGCTCAGGCCTTTCCTGACCACAGAAAGGCTGGGAAGAGAAGATGGGGACCCAGCAGGAAGTGAGAAGAAGCTAGGGCCGGTGGGGTGAGCAGCCAAACCTCTTCCCATGTCCCCCTCCAGCTGTCTGATCCCAGGGTCACCTCCAGCAAGACTGACCCCACCCCTGCTTGCCCTCCTTCCTGGGGACTCACCTGGCCCAAACGCCCCCAGGAGTCCAGCCCCTGGAAAGGAGGAGAGGGGTGAGGAGATGACTGTAGCTGGGAGCCCAGCAGCCTGGCCAACCCAGCCCCCTGTCTTCCCAGAGTCAAAGAGCCCTGGATTCAAACCCTGCTGCCGCTACCTGCAATGCATGTGGGGGAGCAAGTTACTTTACCTCTCAGAGACTCAGTACCCCCATCTACAAAAGGGCCACGGTGTCCCCGCCCTTTTGGGACCAGTGGACTGGGGAACAGAAAGCACCTAGTGTGCACAACCTGCCAGGGCACCCAGTGGGTGTCTCTGCTCTTTCCTGTCCTCCCCAGCAGGCAGCTGGCCTCCAGCTGGTGCCGGGGGTGTGGGTGGCATTGGCTCCCAGCTGCCTGGGCTCCCACTGAGAGTCTAGGCAGGGCCGGCCCGCTGAGGCCCACGTGGAGCAGCTGCCAGGCCACCCACCCTCTACTTGTCAAGGGATTAATTGTTCCCAAGCACGACACTCGCCGCCTGCGCCCTGTTCCATCCTGCCTGGGCAGGCCCGGATGTCCCTGTGGCCTGGGTGCTGATGCTGAAAGGGGATGACCTCAGGGAAGTCATGGAACCCAGCCCCTTCCCATTGGAAGGAGATGTCCTGACTTCCCTTTTGGTCTACTCCTTTACCTTGAGCTGAAAGTTCTTCCAGATGTCTACACTAAGTCTTTCACTCATGATCGCCTCACTTTAGCGCCCATCCCTTAGGGCACTCTGTGTGCAGCTGTCCCAATCTTCCCTCTAGTATTTTATCACAACTTGCCACAGGTTCCCTGCTGCCAGTGGGACCGACTCATTCCCCCTCTAGCTTTGCAGTCACAACCCCCACTAACTTGGGCTTTCCCAGCTGAGCAAAGTCCTACTTCCATGCTTTCACCTTCTCTCTACCATGTGAGATCGGCTGGCCCCTCCAGGGAGACAGGATGCAGGTTCTGGCAGGATAAGCAATGAAGTCCAAAGGCTCCTGGCCTCACAGACCCCTACAGACCCCAGGAAACCCCTTGCCCAGGACTCCTGTTCTCCTTTCTCTCTCTTGCCTGACCCAGCTCTGGAGTTTCACAACCCAGATGGGCTTGCAGGGAAGGGGGATCTGGGTCTTGTAGATTCATTTGCACTTGGATCATTGAACACTGGGATTTCGTAAGAGCCGTTGGACATGCAAACTGTCCTGGAGCCTCTGGCTTCAGAGCCAGGGAGACGTGGAGCAGGGGGTGGGGGTGGGGCGGGTGCCACATGTGGAGCATCTCACATCGATGGGGCCATAAATCTGGACGGAGACACCATTTCCTCCACCTGTTCCTTATCCACCAGTGCTTCCTGGAGGGACCCACCCTCCCCCTTTCCTGGGGTATGTTTTTTTGGAATTGGTGATGGACTTCAGTGGCAGATCCAGGCCCCATGGGCAAGGCTCAGACAGATCTAGGCAGATCTTCTTACTGGAAACCTCCAAGGTCTAGACAGAGCTGGAAGGGGCCTGGTCAGGAGGGGAGCTCATCTGGGGCCAGAGTCAAGGTTAAATCCAGGCTTTGGTCTTGGGTCAGGGTTCAGCCTGAGGTCAATTGTCATTGAGGTCAGAGATATCTAGGGTCTTGGCCTAGAGGTTAGAGGAAGCTTGGTCTGGGATCAGGGGACCATCCAGGTGGAGTATGAGGCCCACCACCTGTGTCTGAGCACCAGAGTGACATTCACAGTCTTGGGGACTGGGACATGAGTCCCTACATTTGCCCCAGCACTAGGGCTTTTTTGCCAAGGGGACTCTCCAGGCAGCTGGGCACATGGGCACTTGCAGGGTAGACCCCAGACACCCCTCACACAGAGAAGACATCAAGCTGACTCCTGTCTCCTGTTCCTGGAGGTCCTGGGGTCTGGCACCAGCCTGCTTATACCTGCTGCTCACCATCTCCCTCCCTCCTCCTGCCTGTTGGCTCCCTCGCCTCAGGTCTTACCTGGCTTGGGAGGTTTGCCTCCGGGCCCCAGAGCTGCAGAGGGAAGAGATGTTGGTGAATGGAGAGCTAGCCCAGGCCACTATTTATCTCCTATATATCTTGCTGGGACAGTGTGGGGGATCTCACTCCCCCAGGTCCTGGAAGGGCCGACAGGGATGGTCTTCCCCTTTTGACAGGGAGCTGCTGGGAGTGCAGTGTCTGGATATGTGGGTGGGAAGCCCAGCTCTGGCCCTAATTTATGACTTCTACTGCCTCAGACTCAGTTTCTCAGCCCCAGAAGGGAAAGACAATACCCATTCAGCAGGTCTTGCAGGGGTGTCATAGAGGATCAAAAGAAATGGAAAAGAAGGCAGGGGCCCCCAGAGGAAGTGGTCAGGGGAGGGGCTTGGAAGGCCAGTGGGCTCCAGCTCTCCCCAATGGATGTTCCCTCTGTAAACTGAGGGAGTCCCTGATGCCAGGCTTTCTGGGGTTCTGAGGCTGGGGCACCTGGATGGACCAGAGTGACAGCCAGACCCCATCAGTGAGGACCCAAGTTTGGTTTCTTAGCTCACCTCCGACTCCCAGACCTCCAATACCAGCACCTGTGTTGAGAGAGAGAGGGAGAGAGAGAGAGAGAACCATCAGTGTCTCTGCCAGAAAGCTGCCCACTGACCCATGATCAAATCCTTCACTGTCTAGCTGCATGACCTTGGGCAAGCCTTAACCTCTGTGAGCCTCAGTTTCCCCATTGGGCCAACAGCTCGATGCCTGTTTGCATCTGGGTGTGTGCCAGGAGCTCACCTCAATTTCACATCAGTGCTGAACACTCAAATGCTTCTTTCTTTCTTTCTTTCTTTCTTTCTTTCTTTCTTTCTTTCTTTTCTTTCTTTCTTTCTTTCTTTCCTTTCTTTCTTTTTTTCTTTCTCTTTTACTAGATCACCAGTTTATTAAAAAAGGATGTGACCCTGGAGCAGCCGGATGAAAGAGGCATAGGGGGCAAAGTTTGGGGAAAGGGTGCAGGGCTTCCACGCCCTGTCTGGGCACCTCTCTTCCTGCATGTACAGGGGTCCACCTCCCTGGCAGGGCCTCTCAAATACTTTTTAAGTATTGAAAGTATTACTTTTGATTTTTCAATCTGCTTTAAGGCATGGTGCTTTTTCCAAATCAACACAAAACGTGCCCCCCTTCCAGCCCCCCATACCAGAGCAGCAACATTCTGCTGGTGGTCTTTCGGGGGTGTTCCTAGTCTCCACCTGCACGTGGCTGCTGCTTTCATATCGTTAGCACCTGAAAAACGCCTCGCCCCACAGCTGGGCAGGTAACGCACTCATATTTTTTAGTAGATGTGTATTATGTCAGAGTTTACCTAATCACACCCTCTGTCAGGTGGGCTTCTTGTTTTACGTCTTTGCAAATAACCTTCCGATAAACCTTGCTCGGGATCTCTCTTTTCCTCTACTTTTCAATTATTTTCTTTGAATGAATTCCCAAGAGGGAGGTTAATGAAAAGCAGGAGCGCGTGAAGGTGCCCACTTTCGTATGGCCTTGCGAACGTTGTCTTTCATCTTTCAGAAAATTTATGCTCTGAGAGCTTGTAAAAGTGTCTTTTAAGTCAGAAGGAGTGGCTCGTGGGTCTGCTGTGCTAGTCGTGCCAGTGCTCTTCCCGGCTGCGCTGGCACGTGGCGCCTCTCCTACCAACTGATCACAATCTGCCTTACCTGAAGCGTGGGATTTCGCGTACGTTACCTGGGTAATAGACGCCTCCAGGCACTCCACCAGGAACAGCCCCCGGGACCCCTGGAAGTAAGTACGTAGAATCCTCCATCAGCCAGAACTAATGAAGGCACAGTGACAATAACGAGGCAGATGGCAATGACGACATTGCACGTCTAACAGAGTGATGCATGTTGGCCAAGAGACTGATGTTTATAAAGCATCTTCTCATTCATCCTTCTCAAAATAGCCCCACGAGGTTGGAAGGGCAGAGATTACTCTCTTCATTTTAACAGATGTGAAGTCGGGCTCAGAGACGTTAGGAGTGGCCAGGGAAACAGCTGGATTTAAGCCCCGGCCGCGTCCCCCCTCCTCTGAACATGACGGCTTGCACGGCGTTACCTGCTTCTCTCGCCCTGGAGAGGGCTGGCATGGGGCTGGGAGCGGGTCCCGTCGGCCGGGCAGCCCCTTCTCTCCTGCATGAGCAGGGGCCAGAGCTGTGGGAGGGCAGGCCGGCCTGTGACGGCCAGCGGTAAGGAAATGCGGCTGCTGCCAGCACAAATGCAGCCATTCCCACACTGATAGGATGGCGTGAGGTCAGCGTCCTCAGCCACTGGGCAGCAGTGGTTGGGTGGGGTTCTGGCTGTCTGACACAGGGCTGTCTTAGGAGGTGCCGGGGCCTGGAGGGGGACACCATGAATGAGCAAAGTGAATAGTTTCCTAAGGAAAAGCTAATTCACTGGCCAGGCCAGGGGCGGTCCGCCCGGCCAAGATCACGAGTTCGTTCCCCATGGACCCGCGAAGCTCTCGCTGGGGGACGCCGTGGTGCTGGGCCCCAAACCAGGCCCAAGTGTGGTCATGGCAACAGACAACCCTGGTGCAGACCAGGCCCTGACTCCACCACCACAGAGTGGCCCCGGCCTCAGTGAGCTGCCTTGCCAATGCTCCAGCCAGGGCCCCGGCACCACCCCACCGAAAGGTGCACAGAGTCAGGCAGCTCTGCAGTGTGTCCGGAGGCCTCACACCAGATGTCTGGCCTCTGTGGCCTGGCGATGCTGCACAGCTGGGTCTGATGGCCCCATGGCCCTGTTAGCCTCCGTGACAGCCCAGCAGGGTGGGGAATGCCAGGCTGTCATGGTCACCCCATGCCAGAGCCCTGGTGCACACCTCCCAGGGCCTGCAGCTCCCCCAGGGCCTGTGATCCAGACCTGGGGTGTGCAAGCTATCTGGTCAGAGGCTCAGGGACACGGAGTGGTGGTCCCAGGAGGCTGGGCCTGCTGGGAATGAGTGTTTCTGCTCTGTCATCGGCTGCCAAGCACGCACATAGCCTGTCTTGGGCCTCGGATGCCTCCCTTGTCTCCAGCCTCCAGATCTGAGCACTGTCTCCTACATGTCTTTCCTTGTGGTAGTCCAGGCCTTTCTCTGCCTCCATTCTCACCCTGCCCCCCTTTCTCTTCCTCTTGACAGTGCCTTGTCCCCACCTCTCTGCTCTCTGGCTCCAGGGCAGGCTGCAGGAGCAGACCCATCTGTCTCTAATCCTGGCTGTGCCGTGCCACTTCTTACCATCTGTGTGACCTTGTGCAAGTCATGTAACCCTTTTGAGTCCCAGTTTCCTTGTAAGCAATGTGGGACTGATCACCTCTGCCTTTCAAGGCTGTTTGCAAATTGCCAAAGGGTTCAAATAAGAGACCGTCCTGCTCTGGACTTGGCATACAGTAATTGCTCAAAAAAAAAAAAAAAGGTGACCTTTTGTGTCCACTTTGCTGCACAGTGCATGGTGTGGGGCCAGGTATACAATAGACATTCAATAAACCACGAGTGAATTAGGTTGAGAGGAGGCAAGGATGGATCTGGGTCCAAACTCTTCCATCCCCAGCCAGCCTGGGGGGCTCCCCACCTCGGGCCTGGCTGAACCCTTCCTTCCTCTGCTGAGGTTCTGCTCCCCTGCACCCCATCTGCATTTCCTCCTCTGCCTGCCCTCTCCCCAGCGTCTGCCCAGCTCTCTGTAGCCCTCCTGGCCTGCCCCAGCTCTCCCCACACCCCGGCCCCCCATGATTCAGATCCCAATACTGATTGCCAAACTCCGTGCCTGAACCATGATGGCCTGGGGAGTGAGAGAGTTCAACCCCCATTTTGCACTGAGCTGATGGAGAAGGATTAGGGGGGTGCAAAGGATCCCTGCCCTGCCCTCTCTCACCACGTTCAGGAGACGTGAGAACAGATTAAGACAGTAGTCAGTCAAGGGCCTTCAAAAAGGCAGCTTTCGAGCTCTAGCCGGTTCTCCTTCTCCTCACCTCCTTGGCTGGAACAGTTCCTCCTGCCAAGAGTGCTCTCCGCTACCCAAGTCCTGCACTTCCTCCTAGACTGAGCTCAAATTCTTTCCCTCCTGCCTTCTCTGAGCCTGTGGTTCTCACCGCTCAGCTGGCCCAAAGCAGTTGGCTTGGAGCATGCTTGTCTTGTTTTATGTGGGTTTGGCTTGTTTCACGGGCTAGCCCAGGGTGGAACTTGTCTCTTGCCTCTTAGAATCCTGGTCTTAGACTCTCAGAGATCATAACAGTCTTCTGGCCTGGGTGGAAACTCCTGCAAACATCCCCTTGTACTCCTGCTTGCGCGCCTCCAGTGACAGGAAGATCACCCCCTCCCAATGCTGTTGGCCCTACCTGCAGAAAGGCTTTCTTTCTGCTGAGATAGAATCTGCCCTCCATCTCTCCACTGCTGTCTCCCAGAGCCCCAGAGCCCCAGGCTCATCTCTCACCCACAGACAGCCTCTCAAGCATTGCCCGTTCTTTTAGGTCTGACTCAAGTGTAACTTCTGCTATGAAGCCTTCCTGGATTTCCTGGGACTCTCCTGGGCCACCCAGTCTCCTGGTCCTATCTGCTTCCTCCATCACTCATGCACACTCCACCCAGTAGACAAAACATGGCGTGAGCAGCAAGAGGGAAAGTTAAACCTTAAAAAATGTGCCCTAATTATAAGAGTCAATCAGTCCAAATAAACAAATTCTGAATAAGAAGATGTATTGTTTTAGAAATTCCCATTCCCACAGTCCCCTCACTTGATGTGATTTTTGCAGATGTTACACGGCTGGAGCCTCCCACTGGCCCAAGGAGATAAGTAGGGCAGGGATGTTTCTCCTCATTTTATGGCCAGGGAAACCAGGAGCCAGTGAGATGAGGCGCCTGGCCCGGGACCCACCGCTGACCCCAGTCACACGCAGGGCTTTCTGCCTGGGCCCCCGGGGCTTTAGGTTCAAAGATGTGGAGAAGGCAGTTGGGGAATGAGCATCGGGCCAGCAGGCCTTGGCAAGGGGCTTTGCCAAGCCCAAGTCCAGGGGGCTGGCAAGGGAGCAGATAAGACCTCACGAAGCTGTTTATTGTTTGCCTGGAGAAAGGCTGCCAAGGGCTTTTCAAAAACAATCTGTCCTCTAGTGGGTGACTCTGTCCCCTCCCTCCCCTGGGCATGTCTGCCCTCCCGCCTTGGCTCCAGCAAATGCAGAGAGTGGGATTAACTCCTCACCCACAGACCCTCTGCCCTGGAGGCTCATCAGAGTTACCTGGGCAGCTTTTTATAAAACCTCCTCCACATCCAGTTCCTTCCTCTGGCCAAGTAAAGCAGGAATCCTTGGGTGGGACCCTGGTATCAGAGTTGTTTAAAGTTCCTCAGTTAACTCCAATATGCAGCTAGGGATGTTCCAAACCATCCTTAGTCCCGGAATCAGGAAAAGAAAAGGCTGATATATTTCTGGGGCATGGGGATGGAATTCTACCGAATTTAACTGTTTTCTCTATCTTTTTAAATGGCATGGGGGTTTGGAGCGGCTGGTCTTCAGACCCACTTGGACCTTCCTAAAGGGGTCCAGAGAACCCTTTCCATTACAGTTTTCCTGGGGGGGGTCCCCTCCACTTACGATGCAGTTCTTTGGAACTAGGAAGCTCATGGGGGTGATATCCTCTTGTTGAGGGGGGCAGATTCTGGGCTCCCCAGGAAAGCCAGGCGGGTAGCTCTGTGTATGTAGGGGCATGGCTCTCTCACTCCCCCCGACCTCTTTAGTAGGCTCTGGGCAAAAACTGCAACAGATATCATGGATTCACACACCCCTGACTGGGACCCAGTTGCTTTACCACCTGGGTCAGAGCTGAGATTTATATTTGTAAAAAAAGATGAAGAGTAGTTGAGCATTGGCAGTGTGACTGGAGCCACAAGGAGAGGGTGTATTCTGCTCTAGGGTGTGCCCACTCAGGAGGCTTCATCTCCTGAAGATGGACCCCCCCCTCCGATGTAGCCCGATACCCGGCCCCTGCCCCCATCCTTTGGCAGAGAACCTGGCCAGTGCTAACCCCCTGGGGCTGCCTTAGCCTGTCTGAGCCTCCATTTCCCTATGGGTAAAAGAAGATCATATTCTCAACTCTTCGGGGGTTAATTGCCACGCTCTATGTGGAAGCACTGTCTGGGGAGGCAGGTGCTCAGGGGCCCACCTGAGGGAGTGGGGAGGAGGTTTGAGAGGGCCCAGAGCTGCTGCTCTTGGGGGTGCTGGGGTGGCCGGTCGTCTGGGGTTTGTCTTGCCCCCCTAGTATGCCCCCCGCCGCACCCCCATCCAGGTCCAGGTCCTGGAGCTGACCTCTGCAAGAAGCCTCTGCTCTCAGCAGTCCTGCTCAGCTAGTCAGTGGCTCAGGGGAGAGGGTTGCTGCTGCTCCGCCCCTCATTCCAGCCCTCCGGCCTGGCCCTGCTCCAACCCGCGCCCCCGACACTGGCCCCCCACTGAAGATCTGGTTCTAATGGCAAAGGGGGACGCCCATGGGAAGCTGACCCCACCCAGGCTACCCCACCAAATGGCTCAAGTCTCTGCACTCCTCTCTTCCCATGGCCAAGAGCACCTTCTGTAGGGCTCCCCAGGGGGCCACTCCTAGGAGCCCTTGAGGTGTGTAGCCTCCCCGGGTGGGGGGGGGCATCCTTGTGGCCTATGGCAGAGAGCATGCCAGATGGTCCAGAACTGCCCCGAGGTCCACTTTAGCCTCTGTCACTGGCTGCCCTACCTCTGCCAGGAGATGAATACCTTCCCCAGCTTCTCTGATCCTTGTTTGTGTCCTATACCACACACACACACACACACACACACACACACACACACACACACAGAGTCACATGCTCGGTGACAGTCCACACCTGGATAGCATATTTCCCCTGTGTCCATTCCTGTCGGGTGGCAGACTTTCGCACACGCTAACAGGCACTTTCACAAAACCTATGCCCTCTCCCATCACACACACCTGCTCAGGGGTGAACCTGTGAACACACATTCCTCGTCTATGGTTTGATGACACATTTGGACATACACACACATGCCCACCTGTGCCGTAGCACACAACACACTTGTTCCTGTGTGCATGCCCTGCACACACATACACACGCTCCGATGGCCCGGCCCCCCTCACCAGGGACAGACCACAGCAGCAGCTTCCCAACCCACAGCCCCGGAATCAACGGAACTCCGACCTTCCTCTGAGGGGGGTCCTGACTTCCCCGGGGTGGGGGGAGGAACAAGGAACCTGTCGAGGTCACACAGCTCACCGTCGTCGCTGAGCTGGCCTCCAGCCCCAGTCCCCCGTCCCTGCTGGATCCACATGTGTGCAAACTGCCTGTGCCCTGTCACCCCAGGGGACCCCGTGGGCCCTCCCGCAGCATGCTTGCCGCCCCCCCTCTCTGGAGACAGCACCGGGACAGAGGTGGGGGGCCTCAGTCGAGCTGGGCGGCAGGACCTGGGCCGGTCGGGGACCACCCTGCATCTTGGGGTGTCTGGTGACAGGTTCCTCCTCGGCTGGGGCTGGCTCCTGGGAGGGGCGGTTCCGGGGATCCAGCGGCTGGGAGGCTCCCGCCCAGGGTCCCCCCAGGACGGCAGGGTGGAGGGCGCCCTCTGGTCTGTCAGTTGGGGCCCCGGCATCCCCGGGGGCAGGGAGAGGCCTACCTCCGGGCTGCGAGGGGCGGGCGATGGACAGCAGGAGCAGGAGGACTCCGGGCCGCAGGGCTGCAGCTCTCAGACCCGCCATCTCGGGGAGAAGTGCCCGGCCCGCTCTCTGCGCCTCGTTTTATCCCCAAAGCGTAATTGCGGCCTCGTCGCCGAGAGGGAAGGAGGGCGGGCGGGCGGGCGGGCGGGGGAGGGGGGAGGCCTGGGGGAGGGGGCCGCGGGGAGGGGGCCAGTTACGAAAGGCCCCGCTCACAAGCCTCCCGGGCTGAGTCTGACTGGACTGGACTGTGGGCTTTTTTCCTTAAAACACACTCACGCGCGCGCACACACACACACGCACACACACACGCACACACGCACACAGTTTCCCCCATCTCTCTCGCGCTTTCCCTCTGTAGCTGTTCTCTCAGTGCTGGCCCCGTTCCCGCCAGAAAGTGCGAGGGGGGCCTCTGCCAGGACAGCCCTCGGGAGAGGAAGCGGGAGGGAGGGCCGGCAGCCCGGCCAAAAATCCAGCCCCAGCCAAGGCCCGAGTGGCCAGGCCCCCGCCCCTCCGGCTGGGCCCGGGGCCCAGCGTGGGGACGCAGGCCAGCTGTCCTGTGCCTCTGCCCCCACCCCCGCCCTCCAGACTCCCCCGACACCCCCAGGTCTGGCCAGAGACTGTCCCTGCCCGAAGCTGGGGATGTGGGGTGTTGGGCAGGTCTGGGGTCCAAGGCCTGGGGCCAATGTCTGCAGAGGCTGAGGGGCTGCGAGCAGAACGGCCTGGAAGGTGAGATCATGCTGGCGCTGCCCTGTGGGGCATCAGGGGAAAAGAAGGGGGGGACGACTCTGACACACCATAGGTCCATCCTTTATGGACTAAGGTCACTGTCTCCCAGCTGATGCTGGGGAGGGTTTGGGGGTAGGTCTAGGATCTGTCTCTGCAAAGGCACAGAGGCTGCATTAGAACAGCCTGGGAATTAAGACCACATTGGCATAGTGCCCTGGGGCATCTGGGGGACATGTGGGAGACCCTGACACACCACAGGGATTCCATTCCTCGTGGATCAAGGTCACAGTCCCACACGCAGGCCTGTGTAGACCACAGTGTCTGGGGATGTTCAGACAGGATCCCCAGGTACTCTATGGGGGACCGAGGGGTTGGGGACCTCACCAGGATTGAGTGTCCTGGCCCCTCTTTATCACCCAGCCCCCATCTACCTCAATGCTGAGCCTCACTAGCACCCAGACCAGACTCCAGAGTCCCCAGACGGCAAGTTCTCTCCCAGCCACAGGAGGACGCCTGGGGCGCTGACATTCTGCTGGTGGCCAGGAGGGGGCGGCCCTGTGCAGAAACAGCTGAGACCAGCATTTCCAGGACTCCCGTAGTCCCAGCCTGCCTGCACAGGATGAGGACCTTGGGGACTTTCCTGGGGTTGGGTAGAGTAGGAGAGGGTCATGCCTCCCCAGCCCCCCGAAATTGGGGAAGAAATTCAAGAGCCAGAGGATACGGGAGGGGAACAGACACTTGCTATCATCAGAGCCTCTAGGGTGGGGGAGGGGGGAAAGTCAAGGTCACAAGTTCTGTGAGCTTTTTCCTGCCCCCAGTTGGAGAATGATGGGGGAGACACAACCACAGCTCTGAGCAAGGGAGCTAAAGGACCCCCGCCCCCTCCAGCCTGGAGTTGTGTGGCCTTCTGGAGGACTAACAAGGCCACGTGTTGAACTCAGGTGAACCTAGCACTAAATTCTAGCTCTAGGGCTTTCTACTGGGGTAAGCTCTTCACAGAGCTTCGGTTTCATCTCGTGTCAGATGGTGATAAATATCCCTGCCTAGGAGGGTTATTGCAAAGATAAATAAAATGTGATCATATATTTCTGTACCGTGCCTGCCAGATCCAAAATGCTCCATGCTCATTTGGTGCTAGTACTAGTACTAGGCTACTATTGCTATCACTCATCCTGCATGGACCACTCCTGTGTTTAGGGTTAACTATCAGGTTTGGCTCTCTGTGGGGCCACCTTAGGACCCCAGGCCATTCCATCCTCTCCCCCTGGTCTTAGGCAGCGTCTGCTCCAGGAGTTTGGAAGAGGGTGGACACACAAGGAGAACAAACTCAAAGCTATTTGCACAGTAAGTGTACAGCTCCTGCTTCCAGTGTATTCTATTTGGGGTACTGTGGGGTAGCTGATAGAGGTTATGAGCCCGAACTTGTCTTTGTTGGGGGGGGGGTAGGGGCTGCTTAGGGCTGGGGTCTGGAGGCTCAGTACCTAGGGTGAGCCTACATGTGGAGAGGGTGCATCTGTGTGCCTGCCCCTCCTGGGAAGGGGGAAGGGAGGGGGCGCTGGGGAGGAGCTGGGCCCCACTCCTCTCGGGGCAGTGACGTGGGCAGGAACCGGCTTTCAGACTTGCAAACCGCAGTCTGCTCAGAGTCTTTATTAATTCCAGGACCAGGAGAGAGGCTGGAGCCAGAAGGAGCGTTCTTGCTGCCGGGGGATCCAGGAGAGGTGTGGAGGGGCGCTTGCAGGGAGAGACTCGGGGCTGCTGGGCCAGACCTCTCCCCACAGAGTCAGGGCCCTGTGTTCCACCCTGATCTGGGACCCCCTTTTTCTTAGCACCCTGTGCTCGTTGGAACAGCTCCAATAACTTGCATCTGAGGCTTCACACACCAGAAAGGGCTTCAATTCAGAACCCATCAATTGAAGTGATTCTTCAGTACAATTTAGCCCAGGGCATTCAATACATACTGTAAGGACTGGAGGTCACAGTTATTAGCTGACATGCATTCATTCATTTGCTCATACATCCTAGAAACCCAACAGTCCTCAACTACTCTGTGTTCACCTCCCTGCATAGCTGCGTGGGTTAAATCAGGTCATTCAGGTAGAACCGCCCATGGAGGGCCGCATGGTGCATCACGGGGCTGGGTGAGTTTGACTTCCCAGTTATCACTGACAAGCCTCACCTGCCCACTCGCTGCTGGACATCCAGGTGAGTCACTGACAGGACATCTCTGTCTTCCAAATCCTCCAGGTGCACCTGTTTAGAAAGGGGTGTGCCACACCTGCCCTGAGCATCTTATTGCTTGGCCCGGAAGCCTTCAATTGCCTTCCAGATAAAGTCCAGACTTCTGAGTACGACCTTCAAGGCTCTGTATGACCTGGTGCAACTGCTCTGATGCTCTCCTTCCTCTAGGCCGGCCTCCCTTCCGGCTGGTGGAGCTGCTCTCTAGCTCCCAGGCTTGTCCTGGAGGGCTGGATGTTGGCAAGGCTCCCTAGTCTCAGCTGCTGTCCCTGCAGGTCAGTGCCCTCGGTATTCCTGCCCCCAGCCCCTCCGAGGGTCGTTGGTGGGAGCCTTCGTGGTTGGACTTGGAGCTTCATCTCATGCCCCTCGGGCCTGGCCATCACTGAAGATGGACCCATTTCTGTCTCCCGGGTCATCCAAGAAGACTGGATGATAGCACAGTGCCCTCCGGGAGATGGGGGGCAGAGATTGCTGATGAGAACGGACCCCAGAGTCTGGCTGTGGTTTCTGTTTTCTCCCTGTCTACACATGGTCCTTTTATCTGTTGATAACAGGATGCTCTGCCTGTGTGGGACCTGGAACCAGAGAGAGAGAGACACAAGCGTTTGCTCTAAGACTAGCCTGGGAAGAGCTTGGTGTCCATGGGACCCGGGACCCATGCTATGCTCTCTCTCAGCAAGGGGTCCTCTGCTGTTAGTCATCTCCTCCTCCATGTAACATTCTTTTCAGCCAGTCCCCTAGGCAATAAAGTCAAGGTTTTACTGTCAGGGAGAGCATGAATTTCTCACATCGACCAAGTGAGATTTGAGAAGGAACAGAATGCTGGTTGGGAGCATGGGTCCGAGTGTAGACACTTCTGGAGGGAATTAACAGCAAGGCCAAGTGAAGGACCCCTTCCCCCACCCCCAACCTGATCCATCTTTGCTCATCGGAGAGACCCAGCTGCAGACATTAAAGACAGCACCTGCCCCTTCTCTGATTTAAAATTTTCCAATAGTTCCATAAAATCAAGAAAATGTAAGTAAAATTAATTTTAATAATACGCTGTATTTAACTCACTATATCTAAAATATTATCATTTGAATGTGTAATTGACATAAAAATTATTGAGATGGTCTACATTCCTTTTTAAAAAATATTTTATTTATTTATTCATAAGAGACACACAGAGAGAGGCAGAGACATAGGCAGAGGGAGAGGCAGGCTTTCTGTGGGGAACTGACGCAGGATTCAATACCAGGACCCTGGGATCATGACCTGAGCCAAAGGCAGACACTCAACCACTCCACCCAGGTGCCCCTGTACATTCCTTTTGTGTACTAAGTCTTAAAACTGGCGTGTGCAACAAATACCATAGGGTCCAGCAATGCCACTTCTGGTATTGATCTGAAGGAAACAAAAATGCTATTTTGAAAAGATATCTGCACTCAGTGTTCATTGCAGCATTATTTATAATTGCTACAACAGGGAAGCAACCTAAGTGGCAGTTCTTGATGAACAGGCAAAGAAAAAAATATATGTATACACACACACACACACACACATATACACAATTGAATGTTACTCAGCCATAAAAAAGAAAGGAATTCCTGCTATTTGCAAAAACATGGATGGACCTTGAGGATGTTATGCTGAGTGAAATAAGTCAAAGACAAATACCGTATGACCTCTACTTATATGTGAAATCTAAAAAATAAATAAACCCAAGTTCACCGATAACAGAGGACGGATTGGTAGTTGCCAGAGGCGGGGTGAAATGGGGGAAGGGAGTCAAAAGGTACAAATTTCCAGTTATAAGATACACAAGCCCTGGTGATGTCACATACAGCTTGGTGACCACACTTAACAATGCCATGTTATATATTTAGAAGTTGCTAAGAGAGCAGATCTTAAAAGTTCTTACCACAACAGGTTGTAACTATCTGGTGACGGATGTTAACCAGACTTATTGTGGTGATCGCAGTATATACAAATATCAAGTTATCATGTTGTGCCCCTGAAACGAATACAATGTTATATGTAAATTATGCTCAATTTTAAAAAATGATGTGGAAGTTATATTTAGGGCACATATCAATTTAGGTTAGTTGCATTTCTTTATTTTTTCTTTTTTAAAGATTTTATTTATTCATTTGACACAGAGAGAGAGAGTGCAAATGCACAAGCAGAGGGAGTGGCAGAGGTAGAGGGAGAAGCAGACTCCCCAAGCAGGAAGCCCAATGTGGGGCTCAATCCCAGAACCCTTGGATCATGACCTGAGCTGAAGGTAGATGTTTAACTGACTGAGCCACCCAGACAACCCTAGACAAGTTGCATTTCAAGTGCTCAGTAGCTACATGTGGCCAGTAGCCACCAGAGTGGACAGTGCAGGTGAAGGTCATGAGGGGACTGGTAAGGATGAGCCCGAAGGTGGCTCTCACTACACAAAGATTAGAGCTATACAGGGGCAGGGAAGAAGGGATGTCCTTGAGGACCGGAGGGCCCATCAGGACAGGCCGCCCCAGGGGAGAGGCCCTACTTCGTGCTGGGGACCCAACCAGAGCAGGTGGCTGCCCCCGGGTGGGGAGGAGGAGGGGTACGAGCCAGCACCCAGAGCCAACAGTTTGGCTGGAAAATGAGAAAGGCCTTCTGTGGCTCATCCCTGCCCAGAGGCAGCTGGGGACCTCTCTGACCACAGGCCAGGAAAGGAAAGGAACCTGCCAAGGGCAGAGATGTCAGGCTTTGCTGGAGGTAGAGAGTCTGCAGTTAAAAGTTGATTGATGGGAAGCTGTGGATCTGGGCCACTTCATCATGTGGGACTGGCCTGAAGGAGGAACGGGCGGTCCTTCGAGGCAGTTTGGGAGTTGGGGAAGGGGCGTTTCTACATGGGGTATTTCTGTATCTTCCAGGCTGAGGTGCGAGGAGGAGGTTGGGGGTGCAGAGGGGGCCATCATGAGCTTGGGCAGATCACCTAGTAATACCCAATAATGGTGACATCAAAGGTAATTAACCCCCAGAAAGTCCTATTTTCTCTTATGGAGACAAGGGTTTCCACAAGCCTTTAAGATGGAAAACTCATGTCTGTAAGCATCAGGTACACAGCCCATGCTCAGATGCAGGATGGGGTCTGTGACACCATTTAGGTGACCAAAGCAGATGATGAGGCTGGAGGGAGAGAGGGGAGAGCCAGGGGAAGCCCCCTTCCCACAAGCACACCCCCACCCCCACCCCCATGCCCCAGTTCTTGAGCTCCTCATTTCTGATCCAGCAACCTCTGCACAACGCCTCGCCTCTGCCCGGGCCTGGGTGTTTGTGTGTCTGAGTCATTTGTCAGTCTGGGGCCTTGGCCGGTGCGAGCCGGGGGGTGGGTGTCCAGGACAGGCCGTGCTGTTCTGCCCCGTGCTGTTCCCACATCGCCTCCTGAACTGTCTGCTGCTGTCTGGGGCGGGGGGTACATTGCTAGCTGGGCAGACTCTACACAACCACCCCCCACCCCCCGGCCCCAGGGACCCAGGACGGATGAATCCAGAACACGCCTTTCATTTGTTTGACACTTGACAGTTTATAAAGCACATCTCCATTTGCAATTTGGGATATTATTATCCCAAATATAAACACAGGGGTTAGGAACCCTGTCTACAAACTCGGTTAGCCAGAGAGCACTCTTTGTATCTCCTCCAGATCTATGTAATTGTAACGCTGAGCCCCTGTCACATGGGCAGGCAGCAGTAAATCCCATCTTAGTAACTGGCTCTCTCTGTCCCCACCCTCCATCCCCAACCAAAATCTAGGTGTCACCTGGCCTCACTGACCTTACTGGGGCCTCTGTGCCTTCGTGTGCCCCAGGGCTGTAATGAGGCTGGGGAGTCCAGGACCTCAGCGCTCTCTGGGGATGCCTGCCAGCGGTAATCTGCTCCTGGACCCACGGGGAACTCCCATCCCCAGTAGGAAAATCTTCCCTCCAGACCTCCTGCCCCTCTGATACACACTCAAAGAGAAGGCTTGCAGCCTGGTGAGTTGCAGGAGAGGCAGGATACAGGATGGACTCACACAGGTATTCATGACTCCATAAACTATCCTGCTACCCAGGTGAGCAAACTGAGTCTTTTTGAGGTGTGCGAGGTCACCCACCGCATTATGGCCTGGAGCTGAGGGCTCTGGGGCATTTCACCCTGCCAGCCACACCACTCTTTGATGGGGTGACAAACCTAGCTGTGGGGTACACTCAACATTTGGAGAGCAAGACCCTCTCTTCACAGGGCTGGGCACCCCAGTTGTTTCAGTGCTGGCTCTGGGAGCTGGTAGGCAGAGCTATCCATGCTCCCCCTGCCCGGCCCATGCTCCCTCTACCTGGCTCACGGCAGTGCTTCCTCCTGCACAACCTTATCGGCCTACCTCCTCCAGCCCATCGTGCCCAGGAGCTCTTCCAAGAGCCTGAGCTGAGAACACTGCTGGGCGAGGAGCTGTCTTCCTCCTGGGTTTTGCCCGTCTCCATCCCTACACCACGTTTGGCCACTCCCTGCCTTGGGCAGACCCCTCCACCCATGCCCGGAACCCTCAGCTAGCCTGATCCCTGTGGCGCCAGGCGGGTCCCACGGGGCGGGCAGGGCAGCTGCCAGGATGCAGGGTGGGAGGCAAGTGAGGCCGGGCCAGGGGCTCCCGCTGGGCCTGGGTTATCTACTCCCTTGTTCCTTCTGGTCTCCACATTCCTGAGTTGCCAGCTTTGGTTGGGCACTGGCCTTGGGAGGGAGGACGGGTAAGACACTAGCACCTACAGTCCTGGGAAAGGGGATGTAATCAAGAAGGCTTCCTGGAGGAGAATGCCAGAGTTGAACCTGTTCCCTTTTCTCAATGGGAGATGTGTTCCGGGTGGTGTATGCAAAAGCAGGAAGGCTGAAGGCCCTGGCCTTTGCCCTTCAGCCCACCCACAGGCTGCCTGCCTGCCTGCCTGCCGGAGAGCTTCTGGAAACACAATCCCAGCTGTCCAGCCCCGTGTGAAGCCCGCCAGTAACTGACCCTGGGAGGATGCTGGCCCTTCCTGCTCAGCCTTGCATGGTCTCCCAGCAGTTTTCAAATTACAGGCTGTGACCCATCGATGGGCATGAAATCAATTTAATAGGGCAGGAGCAGCATTTGAAAACTGAGTGACTAGTATAGAAAAGAATAGATGCAAGTGTCACATTTGCGACCTGATCGGTCTTGTGTCCTAAATCTTTTGTCTGAGGCACGCATGCCTGTGTTTGGCACATGCGTGCTGGATTGTGATTTCTCGTCCTGCATGTTGCTGTCAGAAAGTCTGCAAGACGCTGTTGCAATCACCGTGTACAAGCTGTTCATCCTGTGTTAGCATGGGAGGCACCCACAGTGTGGCTGAGTGAATGTGCGAGTAAATGAATGGGGGGGAGGAGACCCCACTTTGGGGGACACCATGTGGACCCCCTTGGCTTGGCCACATGTCGAGCTCTTGCCAGACTGACAAGAAATGGGGTCTTGGTGCATGAGTTTGGGCCACTATTTGTTTTTGGGGTGTGGGCTATGCTTGCTCCTGGACCTAGAGCCATCCAGACCCCCTGGGAGCCCCCTGGAAGGACATCATGAGGGAGAGCATGACTTTCAGAGCACATTTTTCAGAAACCCAAAGGCAGAGGTGAGGTTGCTCGATGGGCATGGCTCCCAGCCCCATGTAGTTGGTACGAAGGCAGATGTGGTTTTATGTGGTTTATATATTGGGGCTCTGAGTAACATTGCATTTGAAAAAAGGACTTCTGGGGATTGAAAATCATGACAATTGCCACTCTGGTGGGAAGGCTGGGTCCCAGGAGATGGAGCGATCCTTCCCTGACCTGTCCTGATTGCTGGGTGACCCTGGGTGACATCTTCCCTCTCTGGGCCAGGAGTCCCGTCTGAACCAAGGGGGTGCAGCCTGGAGCAGCTGTTCTCAGTTCTAGCTGTGCATTAGAACTTACGGGGGTTTCTGAATCTATCTGCCCAGATTATACCCCAGACCAGAATCTCTGGTGTCGGGCCCAAGG